GAAGAAAGATGACTTAACTGTATTTAAATAAATGTAGATTGTTGTATTATACTTAATACAAATAAGACATCCCCTGAAAATAAGCCCTAGTGTGTGTGCTTGAGAAAAAATAAATAAAAGACAGTGTCTTATTTTTGGAGAAACACAGTAGCAGTTGAAGTGCAAGAGAGTGAGGATCTAGAAGAAAATGCAAATTGAAAAAAGAGATGAAAGGGCCTGGCAGGGTGGCTCACACCTGCAATCCCAGCACTCTGGGAGGCGGATCGCCTGAGCTAACGAGTTTGAGACCAGCCTGAACTAGAGTTGAGACCCTGCCTCAAAATAGCATTGTGGCAGGAGCCTATAGTCTGAGCTACTCAAGAGGCTGAAGCAGGAGTCTGAGATCAGCCTGAGCAAGAATGAGACCCCCATCTCTACTAAAAATAGAAAAACTAACTGGGCATTATAGCAGGCACCTGTAGTTCCAGCTACTCAGGAGGCTGAGGCAGGAGGATCACTTGACCCCATGAGCTTGAGGTTGCTGTGAGCTAGACTAATGCCACAGCACTCCAGCCTGGGCAACAAACTGAGACTATCTCCAAAAATAAAAAATTGTTTTTATTTCTTGAGTTTCATTAACCAACTGTGATTCGTGGTTTTGTCCTTGTGTGAAAGATGGTAATAATAGTGTAGATTAAACGCATTTATGTACAAGTTGAATTCTAAACTTAATAGAAAAGAGTGACAAAAAAGCATAAGAAATTCTTGGAATCCCATAAATTAGTCTTTTTCCAAAAGTGATTTATAATGCTGGGGAGATTCTTAATTCTTTAGAGTTTCTATTTCAAATTCAATGTCTTTTTTTTTTTTTTGAGATAGAGCCTCAAGCTGTCGTCCTGGGTAGAGTGCTATGGCATCACAGCTCACAGCAACCTCCAACTCCTGGGCTTAAGCAATTCTCTTGCCTAAGCCTCCCAACTAGTTAGGACTGCAGGCGCCCACCACAACGCCAGGCTATTTTTTTTTTTGGTTGTACTTGTCTTTGTCGCTTGGCAAGCCCAGGCTGGATTTGAACCCGCCAGCTCTGGTGTATGTGGCTGGTGCCTGGGCCACTTAAGCTACAGGTGCCAAGCCTCAAATTCAATCTCTTATTTATGTGTATCCGAGAACTTTTGTAAAAGAAAGTCCTTTGAGCTTCAGGTATCTTTTTAAGGTTCTTTTTTTCTAAAAACTCAACAGGCCATGAAAATTAAATAAATGATTTTAATTTCTTAATTTTCAAGTAAAGAATAACCTTAAAGTCCCTCTTGAATTCTTATTTAGGTAGAAATATAAAAGGTTTTTATTCTGACATATTGAAAAAATTTTTTTATTGATATTATTTTCTTTCTGTCCTTCCTGTCCTTCCCTTCCTTCCTCTCCTTCCCTTCCTCCTTCCTTCTCTCCTTTCCTTCCTCTCCTTCCTTTTCTCCTTCCTTCTCTCCCTCCCTTCCTCCTTTCCTTCCTTCCTTCCCTCCTCCCTTCCTTTGTTCCTCTCATCTTACTCTGTTACTCAGGCTTGAGTGCAGTGGCTTCATCATAGCTTGCTACAACTTCAAGCTTCTGGGCTCAAGCAGTCCTCCTGGCTCAGTTAGCCTCCCAAGTAGCATAGGCATGTGACATCATGAGCCGCTAATTTTTGTGATTTTTTTTTTTTTTTTTTTTT